GAATAATCAATGTCACACGAAGGCATGCCAACAAAAATTTAAATTCTAACGCAATGCAGTCTCATACAATGACTAAAAGACAATTAAAGCACAAAACAATTATCAACTTGCAATCAAAACCAACACTTCAAATATGGTAGATAATTCCTGAATTCTAGCACAAGCAATGGTTACCCTACACGATAACTTCAATTCTAATTTCATCCCACACGGTAATTTGCTAATACTAAAATTAAACGGGATAAACCAATACATCAGAGTTCGAGAGATGTGAATTTACCAAACTTTAGGATGACCACTAATCGTCCAAAGCTCCAGCAATTGCGGCAATTAATTAAACACAATCGAATCCCAAATGCAAAGGGCAAAATCGTCCAGACTCCACTGTATAACCTGAAGCAAAAAACTAACACCAAAATGTCATAAATGATGTTAGGAACAAGCTACTTGAAGACAATGTCGATTTCTCTTTATGCGTCAGTAAGGCTCTTTGCACGTGGTTGTCACGTGTAGCCGCATTCACTGTCGGGATGACTTAAGCGCCTAACGACCAGTTGCGCGTCCACATTCATGTCACGTCGGTGGTGTTCATTTCACCAATTGGTCACTAGATTGGCTAGAAATCGCACAAACAAATAGGGTAGAATAATTTTGAATTGGACATATTCTTTTTTCTGCTTTCTGGTCGATTTCTTCCTGTTAAAACAGATTAATTCTTGAGACAAAATCCACCTCCTTAAAGCTTTGATATCAATTTTCGTGGAAGCTCGCTCCAAGATTTTCGAAACAGTGAGTTTTGGGCTCAGTTACACATTATCTTTTCTACCAAACAACCAATCCAAACGGTTTTGACCCAAAACCAATATATTCACCTCGTTTGCTTTTCAATCTTACCCACAAAAGATAAGATAACAGTGTTGATTTATAGCCACAAGGCAAAAAAAAAAAAACAATGAAAAGAAGGCCCAAGAGGAGACCAAAATACACAAAGGAGCAGCCACTTTTTCTTCACTATGGCAGCCGGTTTTCTTCCTCTCAAAGCAGCCACGTTTTTTAGTCTAATGCACAAAACACACGCCAAAAAGGCTGGGTTAATAGCAACATATATATTGGTTATGCTAGGCTTTAGTTGAACCAAGAAAATTGTTAAATGGGCTAAGATCAAAAGCCATCCAATAAGAAAATATATGTGCCGTGAGCAGCATTAATTTCTTTAGTTACTTCCGCGGTCCAAGTTATTTTCGGATCGAGCTTTTGGGCTCGGTTGTTGGTAATTCATCGGCCAATGCCTATGAAATTCAATCCGATGTTTACATCATCATCAGGGATTTATTGAGTATCAAAACCCAAGAATTCAATATGAAGCTGTTGGTATTTCTCTTGATATGATTCCAAGGATGTGAATTGTTCTGTATCCAATTGATAGTTAGGCTTCTGCTTAAATTTTGTTAATTACTGAAGGATTGCATGCTTGATGCTTTTGTATTTCTTTATTACGACATTTGGTTCTTATTTGTATTTGTGTCTTGGTGCTTTCTACCTTTTTCAGTTGTTGAGTTGTCTTAGTTTTTCTCTGCCAAGGCGACGGCGTAACTCGTAAGCATACAAATGCAACAACTCAACACAATTTACCTCGTGCAATATAATTTCTTGTTGGAATTGGTAGACCATAGACAACAACTTGGTCTTCAATGACTGGAGGAACGTCCTTTGATCAAGCAGACGATGCTCTTCCCCGAGCGTTCTAGTTTTTATTTCTGCAGCTTTCTTATTTCTCTTCTTGCTATTTTGGTGGTTTTGACTGCGATTTGTTTAACTGCTGCCTGTAGGCCCGGTCAAGAATTGAAAAACCATTATTGAAGAAAGCTGTGGATTCAGTTTCAGTGTTGCTGAGTAAAGGAAAATGCTTTTTGAATTTGTCTCTGATCTGGTATTTCTTAGAGTGGACTAAAATTTTATCTAACCAAGTTGTATTTTATTTTGTCTGTGTGCATACCACATGATCAGCACAAGAGTCAAATAAAAGATAAAGGTTTTGGTGATGGTTTCAGTCTCAAATTTGATTTCTATTATGAAGGAAAAGGAGGAAATTTGAACTTCATTTTGAATTGATATGTATACCTTCCCCAGTAAATGTTGACCATGATTGGAGGATATATTTTCTAGTCTGTCATTCTGTTTAAGCGATGCCAGTAGTAAAGTGTAGGATACTACTACATATACTCACCTGGACTCACTGTGAAAGGATTTTGCTTGCTGTTGATTGACAATACTACCTCTGCTTCCAGATTAGTGATATTGAAATCTCAAAGCATTAGATTACTTTTGTTTATAAAATATTATATATTTACTTCTCATGGCAGATTACTGAGTGCATTACGAGTTATCTCGATATCTCCTCTGATGCTTCAACTATTACTCCTGTATTTCTGGTAAGATCAAACCAAAACTCGGGATTTTCTTTCACAATTTAATCACTGAATCTTCTTTGTGGTGATAATACCAAAATATCAAGTTGGCTCAATCGTTTTTATGTTGTTCCTGTCAGATATCAAATTATCTTCCTGTTGATCTTGAATTTTGCATTAAGCTTGCAAGGGAGGAATTGGTGATTGTGCTTCCAGGTAAGAAAAATGCCTTCATAATAAATAGTAGAAGGGTTATTTTCAAACAAAATAAAGTATCTTTTCTTTTCTTGCGCAGGGGCAGCCGTGGGACTGAAAAATTGGCTGAGGATAACTTTTGCGATCAAACTTTCATCTCTTGAAGATGGCCTTGAAAGGGTTAAAACCTTCACTCTTAAGGCATGCAAAAACTGAGTAGTTGAATTTGTTATTCAGAAAAATGATGATCTGACTACTGTAACTTCAGTTTTAAATTTATAATGGTTTAATCTATCCAAATCTATATTATAGAATTTCATCCATCTTATATGAAGATTATGCAAAGTTTACAATTGTACTATTGGCGTTTCTGTTTAATTGGATTGTTTGATTCCTGGAATTTCTATTTGATTATTTCCTATTTAATTTAATTTTTCCTACTAATATCAAGATATGCTTTCCCAATGATTTGATATCTGTGTCTTCATCCTTTGATCCGCATCTCCTCATTATATTTTTTGTCCTTCACCTGTTTTTACAATTGTGGTTGTATTTGTTTTAGCTTTGACATGGAGTCTGAACGCAGTTGTTTCTAAATTGAAGTAAGCAAAAGTCTATCCTTTGCTGTACGGTAAAGCTCTTCCTCAGATTTGATTTTATAGGGTAGAACAAGAGGACAGATTATGCAATTGAGTATTTTGAGGTGCAACTGCAGCGTCTCTCTTCTTTTGGAGAATGTTCGAGAATGGAATTATGTTCCTGTTTGCTCATACAACCGCATTATATATGCACATTTAATCTGAAATTTTCTTCATGAGCACCATATATTTCTTTTGTTTAATCTCAGATATAAGTCTCTTACATTACAGTTCTTGATGATGAACATTGTTACTTCATGTTCTGTATTAACTTGAATATCCAGTAGAGGTTCCATTTACAGTTTGCCATTATCTTCGCAAGTACTTGACTAGCTATGTTCTCTTTAACATTAGTAACAAGTAAAATTTACTTGACTCTGTCACGTAGTATGCTAGCTGATAATTGTTTGTGTAAGCTTATGCCCATAAGTACGGAATTGATCTGTTTTAAGCCCGTGGGTTCTTGTATCCTGGATAATGGTGGCGTGGGAGTTCTAGATTACACTCAGTTGTTTGGGGGGTTTAGCTGCTGATGGTAGTATTATTTTGGTTATTGTTTCAATGTGTTTAGTTTGATGAATTAGACTTCTTTAACACATTAAACAAAGAACACTTACTGAAATAGAATGCCATTTGTAGAGCATTTCCAATTGAGTAATAATATTCGACACCAGGTGTTAAGCCCCTGTTTGTTTCTAATTTTAATGAATATTTGTACTGCTGCAATGGACAGCAGCTACTTTTGTTGATCAATTTGTTTCATAGTGGGACTCATTTGTTTGAAAAAGAAAAGGGTCAAAAAATTCTTTCCGTTAAAATAATTGGAAACAAATGGGTCATAAATGATATTTTCACGTAAATACGATGGTATATGATTCATTTAATTGAACTTATTAAGCATGGTCATTTAAATGGGTGCTCTTATTCTAGATAGTATTATTCTTTCCAATTGGCTCCTCGAGATTATTTGTATATTTATAAATATGCTCTTCAAAATAAAGAGCATCTTTGAAGATATTCTTAGTCTATGTTTGGCCTCCATTATTTTTTTAAAAAAAATCATTTTTCAAAACTCGTTTTCAATCAAATGTTTTTCCATAAAATAATTTGACGTGTAAATTGGCCCCTGTTTGGCCCCCATTATTGTAGATTTTTAGGGGGTTGAAAATTTTTAGAATAGTGATTGATGGGAGATGTGTGGTTGAAAAATTTTAGATTTGTGTGTGTTATTATTTTATTAATGTAATGTAATGAGATATAATCGGGGGCAAATCCTTGAATTTTTTGTTTCATATTTTGTAACTTCAAATAGACATTTAAGCATCATAAAAAAATTTCGCGGAATAGACATTTAAGCAGCATAAAGAATTAAAATTAAGCCAATTTCAAGAAAATTAGAAATCCGCTACGTTAGAGAGTTGCGTGTTCCAAATTCCTATAAAAGCTTTCATTAACCGGGCGGTTTTTGGGCCAACGGTTTTTTCCATTAACTGGCGGATCTTGGGTTTTAAACAGGCTGTTTGCTCAGCTGCTATATCCTGATGCCCGGATGGGACCATGATCCGGTTCGACGGTTCCCGGGTTGAACCGGCCTGTCCGGGTTTGATAACACTGTTTGAAAGTGACCTACAGATAGCTACTGTATTTAAATCCGCCACTCGAATATATTAAAAAACTATTGTTATTGATAAGGTTTACACACAGTTGACAATCTCTTCGAAAGAACTGGTAGTACAGAGTTTCTGTTCACCGAACGAGGATGGAGGAGGAGATAAATTTAGTGAAAGAGAGGCCAATTATCATAGCCATGAAAGGGCATCCAGGGACAGGGAAAAGCACTATGGCTCGCGCCATAGCCAGGACCCTCAAGTGCCCTCTTATAGATAAAGACCACTTTCGAGACTGCACACACACACTCGAGCAAAGCCTTTTGCTATCCACACCCTGCAAAGCAACTAAACTTCTCAACGACCTATCATATGAAGTCATGTGGAACGTGATCTCGACTCAACTCGACTTGGGGTTAAGCGTTGTCATTGACTCTCCGCTCTCTCGTCGGGCACATCTCGACCGGTTGCTGGATATGGAAGAGGAATATGATGCTCGGCTTGTTATTGTCGAGTGTAAACCTGGAGACGAGACGGAGTGGCGCAGGCGGCTTGAGGCAAGGGGAGAGGGCGATAATGGATCGGGGTGGCACAAGCCAAAAACTTGGCAAGAGATAGAGAAACTCTTGGAGAGTTATGATAGGTGTTGGGATTATGATGTGGGTAAGGTGCCTAAACTTGTTTTGGATACTACTGCTCATGTTCAGATTGTGAACCTGGTTTCAAATGTTTTGCAATTTATTAAATCTTGATTTCATAGTAGAGTCTACTCAGCCTGAAACTTGAAAAAGTAATTTGTTTTGAGAAAGTAACTTCTCAACATAATCAAATATGTAATACTTTTAATCTTCATTTAATTTGAATGTTATCCAATCGAATTTAGCCCTTGTTTGATACCTTTTTTTTTTTTTAAAGAATGCGTTTTTAGATAGTGAGTGTGTTTGGGAGAAATTTTTGTGGGATTTTAATCAAAATTATAGTCGTTAATGTCAACCCGTGAGCTCCACTTGTGAGATGGAAGGTCAAAAATGGTGACTGATTTGATAGTTAACGGTTGGATTTTTTATTAGAATCCTGATTAAAATTTCTCCCAAACAGAGCCAGTGTTTTGACTAAATTTCAATCACGTATTTTTTTTATTTTTTAATCACATTTCACACACTATTCAAAAATGTATGTTCTGACAAAAATAGGTCCAAACAAGCCCAATTTTCTAGTTCAAACAGCAAAAAGAATATCAACATTTGTACAATGATTTTTCATAATATTGTTGACAATATCATATGTGTCAAAAGAGTGTTGAAAGGAAAGATAAATTATTTTTTAAATTGTCTAATAACATAATATCACGTAACATGTTGTCAACAATGTTGTAAAAAAAAATTGTATAAGTAGGAAAATTTGTAATAGCGGGTTCAGCAAATACCAATAATTATAAAAAAAAAAATTGTATAAGTAGGAAAATTTGTAATAGAGGGTTCAGCAAATACCAATAATTATTCCAGAATTACCATAGAACCCTCAAATTGTCAAAAGTCACAAACGGTAAAAAGGTATTCAACCGAGGGTAAAAGAGGAAATTGGGTACACTATAAATAAGAAGCTTGACCGAAGAAATTAGGGTTAAGAGCTCAGATGGAAAGAATGAGGGTAGAGGGAGATTAGGAGTTTCTGAAGGGTGGTTGCCTCTCCCTTTCACCCAATGATTTCCTCCTTTAACACAAAATCAACAACCCTTGATGCTGTTGTATGTGTATGTATCAACTATATATACACTACTTACAGAAAGACAAGAGACTGGGAATTACAGTTGATCTCTTCTATGGTTTGTTTCTTGCTGGTATATATTCTACTGATTATCGGAACTGGAACCTTCATATTACTAAGTACTTGTTTGGCAAAGCTAAAAGATGGTTTGAGTGTTTATAAACAGTTCTCAAACATAGGCTAAGTAAGTTTTAAGAGGCTGTGATGATGATGATCTTCTTTATTCCTCTGAGCTGATGAATTGGGCATTGAGACGATCCGTATCTTGGCGGGGCAACCCGGATGGAGAACCGGTGATTTTGCAGCCATGGCGTGATCGTCCCTCTTGCCTAAATTGAACACAGATCTGAGCCTCTAATTCCTTTCCAAACTTATAATTTTGTATTGAAAAACGATAAAATCTTGGAAAATGTTTCTTCCTCTTGGGAGTTTTTTTTTCCTTCTTCCTTTTTCCTTGCTTTGAGTAAAATAATTTCACATCTAAGGAAATTTTTTGCGTTTTGAGTGTAAGAATATTTTGTATTAATTTAAGTGGTTTGTCGTATTATGAGAAAAACAAATAATAAATTAGAAAATTTTGAACAGTGGAGTATTAGAGCATGACTCTTCTTTTATTAGGATTAAGTCACGTGTACATTCTTTGGGTGACATGAAGTTTGATATTGAGTGTATATTCAAAAATGGTTTGGAGGGAAAGTGTGTTAAATTCAAAAACTGTCTAATGTGATAGCGGTACATGGCACAATGTAAAATTTGATGTCAAAGTTAATGTAATTGTAGTATGATTGCTTTTATTAAGGAGCATATTTTATCATTTAAAGAACATTTATAAATTTTGATAGTTAAAAATGGTAAAAATACAACTCACAAACTTCGTAAGATAATTAAATTGTTGTTATTTAAAATAGTATTTCGATAGAAAATGTGTTGTCAAAAGTAAGAAATTTTTTTAAATTTACTTGTAATATTATTTTATTAAAGATTGTGTTGTTTAAAATAAGAGAGAAAATGTAATTAAGAAATAATAGGATCAAACGAGGGCTCAAATATTTCAAAATTATGTCAAAAATTTCAAGTTAGTGTCGGGGAGACTAGTCAATTCCTTGCGTTCCTCAAGGGAATATTCCAAATTGCAAAGCAAAGCCCAATAAAAATTATTAATTTAAAGATTTAACATTAATTTCCAAGTTAATTGTGTTGCAGTGGTTGTCAATGGGATAACCAAATTGAAAAAATTGTAGTCACGATATCAAATATTTTATTTAATTGCAAGCTTTGTTTAAATCTTTCATTTGTGTTACCCTCGGTATCAAACCTTTAAAAAGCTCGTCCCTAGAGTCCAAATGAATGGAAACTGTTAGTTTGATTGTTAATCAGAAAATTAACATTAATCATAATTTTGACTAATTTTAAAATGGTAAAATTGAAACTTTACATTTTTTATAATAAAATAATTAAAATAAAAAAAAAACCCAAACCATACATACCCACCACATCCAAACCTAAAACAGTGCAGTTGTACTGGGAAAGGAAAGCTTGGGCGAAATAAAGAAGACGAAATTGTTTGTTTTTCCTGCATTAGTGGTTTCTCGAGCAATGACTCGAAGGTGGGGTCGGAAAAGGGTGACGATGGAGCTAGTGGAGGGATGAGGGGGTGGGGGAGGAAGATCTCGTGGCTATCGATAAGGGGTTCAATTTTGAGTTAGACGAGTTGTTGAGGGTATCGGCTTATGTGTTAGGGAAGAGCGAGTTAGGGATTGTGTATAAAGTTGTGCTTGAAAATGGGGTGCCTGTGGCCATGGGGAGGTTGGGAGAAGGCGAGGAACAAAGGTATAATGAGTTTGTTGCGGAGGTTCGGGCAATCGAAAGAGTAAACCATCCGAATGTTGTGAAGTTGAAGGCATATTATTGGGCACCTAATGAAAAGAGCGATTTCATTTCCAATGGCAACTTGGCTTCTGCTCTTCGCGATAAGTTACTACTCCTGCTATCATCCATAATTAGTTTTTTCGCTAAATTGTATTTATTTGCAAATTATTATATGCATAGTTTTTGAAATTTTTCGTGGAGGCGGGCGACAGTGAAATGCTTAAAAGTAGGTGATCGACGTGGCCGGTGAATTTTCTGATTTTGATTTGGGAGTGGGAGTGGGAAAGGTGAAGGAGATAACACGGTAGGTTTGGGTGGGGGTGGGTATGTGTGGTTTGAGTTTTTTTTTTTTTTTAATTATAAAAAATGTAAAGTTACAGTTTTATTCTTTCAAAATTATAGTCAAGGTCAATTCTCTGGTCAACTAACGGTCAAACTAACAGTTTTCATTCATTTGGACTCTGGGTGCGAGTTTTTTAAAGGTTTGGTACCTGGCACAAATGAAAGACTTGGACAAAATCTGCAACCAAATAAAATGTTTGATACCGTAATTGTAATTTTCCCTTAATAATTGGGAAAATTGTTCCAAACCTTTCATTTTTATTATAGATTTTATTTAAACTTTTTATTTGTATCATTCACAATTTCAAACATTTTATTTAGTCATAGGACAAATGGAGGTTTCCATCCAGTTTCATCAGACGACAACAAAAATAAATAAATTTGACATATTTTGACCATTTTTAAAAGGATTAAACAATACTTTTATATCATTTAACATAAAAAAAATTATAATAGTTAAATAAAAATGGATAAAGTTGTTTGTACACCATGTGTACGTACACCTGTCTCACATGAATAGTGTGCGCGAATATTTTATTGTGTGTGAGACCCCCCGCTCCATGTGAGGGGGGTGTAAAAGATTGTGTGAATGATTATGTACATATATCATAATTGAATAAAAATATGTATATAAAAAAGAAGAAGATTATTCTTCCTACCATCCAACCCACCCACCCTAACGCAGTAGCCATTTTCACTCACCCCACATCGACAACCACTGTCACGCCACTCATCTAACATCGCCATAAAGTAATCCCCTTCCTCCTCTCTTATAAGCACACTTGAAACCAATCACATACACAAAAGAGACTGAATCACATATTTTTACATCCATAAAGACAATATTTTGAGGAGTAAGGTGTGGTTCCTAGTTAGAAGTTATAATAGTTGTTACGAGTCATAATATAGAAGCGACACGTGGCACCATATTTCAGTGGTGGAACCAGTTTACTTAGGCTAGGATATGTTCTCTTAGCCTCCGACGTGGATTCCGAGGCCCTGGCTATTGTTTCGAGGCCCTCAAGACAGTTCCTATGCCTTTACTGTCATCCCAAGCCCAAGTCTCGCGTGGAAGAAAACCACATGGAAAGATATTGCAATGATTAAAGATCCGTGTGAATGATTAATGTGACTTTTGTATAAAGTAAATCTGTCTTGTCTAGTCAATGTAAGAACATTTGATGCTTTGTAAGGCTAGGAGAGTCAACTTGGTGGCTAGGATTTGATGTTTCGGCCGAGGAGATGAGGCCACGTGTAAATTGATCCAAAAGTCATTATTCGACTTGTAACACTATAAATACCCCAACATGTAACACAAAAAGGGTAATGAAACTTCTCATACCAAATATAAAAGAATACTGAATACTTGGAGCAACATTTCTCTCATTTCAACAGTGATTCTTACAGCATATTTTCTATTACAAATCGTTTTTCATCTATTGATTTCTTATACAATCGTGTCACACTTTTTACCGAAAGCCTGAACGGAAATGTCTCGTGCCTTTGAGCCACTCTCACGCCCATTTTCTGGAGCCATCTTGACCGTTGATCGGCGTTAGTGTGTCGGATCAAGCTCGCGTGTGCACGAGTGGGCCCGGCATCTATTGGCAACATTTTTTGGGATCAACAATAGTTACTAAAAAAAATAGCGGCTCGAGTAGGTAGGTATATTATTAGAATTAGAAAGAATTAAAATTCCATGTATATTTCCAAAATGGATTACAAATTTGTACACAGAATCTTGGCCGTAATAATTACTAAATAAAAAAAAATT